CTCACACTTGTTATAATGGCTATTATCAAAGAGACAAGAGATAACAAGTGCTGATGAGGACATAGAGCAAAGGGAACCCTTGTACGTTGTTGGTGAATATGTAAATTTAGTGCAGCCACTACTACGGAAAAAAATATGGAAGTTCCTCAAAAAGTTAAAAATAGAATTGCCATATGATCCAGCAATTCCATTTCTGGGTATTCTTTTTTTTTTTTTTTTTTTTTTTTTTTGCGGTACGTGGGCCTCTCACTGTGTGGCCTCTCCCGTTGCGGAGCACAGGCTCCGGACGCGCAGGCTCAGCGGCCATGGCTCACGTGCCCAGCTGCTCCGCGGCATGTGGGATCCTCCCGGACCGGGGCACGAACCTGTGTCCCCTGCATCGGCAGGCGGACTCTCAACCACTGCGCCACCAAGGAAGCCCCTGGGTATTCATTTGAATAAAATGAAAACATTTAACTTGTAAAGATATATTCACCCCATGTTCATCGCAGCATTATTTATAATAGTCAAGATACGGAAACAAACTAAGTGCTTATCAACAGATGAATGGCTAAAGAAAATGTGATATATATATATATATATATGCCACAACATTCTATTATTCAGCCATAAAAAAGATGAAATCTTGCCATTTGTGACAACATGGATGGACTATGAAGGCATTGTGCTAAGTGAAATAACTCAGACCGAGAAAGACAAATGCCATACAATCTCACATGTGGAATCTAACAACAAAAACAAAAATAAAAGAAAAACCAAACTCATAGATACAGAGAACATACTGGTGGATGCCAGAGGTGGGGAAGTGGGGGCAGAAGAAATGGATGAAGGAAATCAAAAGGTACAAGCTTCCAGTTATAAAATAAATAAGTCATGGAGTTGTAATGTACAGCACAGTGACTACAGTCAGTGATACTGTATTTCATATTTGAAAGTTGCTGAGAGAGTAAATCTTAAAAGTTCTCATCACAAGAAAAACAATTCTGGTACTATGTGTGGTGATGGATGTTAACTAGATTTATTGTGATATCATTCTGCAATATATACAAATAACAAATCATTATGTTGTACACCTGAAACCAATATAAAGTTTTGTATGTCAATTATATATCATTTGAAAAAGGAATGATGAAATTAAAAATTGCAACTTAATATTCTTGTTAATAACAGTCAAATATGGTTAAATGCTGCCTTTATAGATATCCCTATTCTCCTTTCACTCTCTGGATTTCCTGTCAAATGACTTCTCTGACCAATATTACCTTGGCTTGTGTGCTCAAGCATACACACTCACACATACACAAATATTTATATATATGAAGATAAATGACTATGTCTCTGTTTTATTGTCAAAGAAAGTTCTTACTGATAAATTTTAGTTTTTTTATAGTTCTGCACATCAGAACACCAAATGCCCTAGAAAATTCAAAACTAAGCCAAAAGACTGAATCTAGAAAAAGAAAGTAACCAGAAAACCCATCCCTAAATTTGGTGTCTGCATAGTTTGTTATAATTGAAGGGAAATTTGCAGTCTGAATGGTTGAATTTATTATTGAAAAGGTGGTGGACAAGAATACAGATCAGATTTGACACCTAGGCTTGACATTTCAATTGAAATGTCTTTAGCCATTCCTGACACATAATTTCATTCAATTAACCTCAAATAGCGAATGACATCACCATAGCTATATCTCTCTATTTCTCTATTTGTTATGTCTAGAGATCAATGTCAAATATTACATTCTCAGGAGAGAAAACATGTAGCTATTCACTCCAAATTTAATTAAATCCAACAAACATTCAATTAAATTCAACAAATATTGAGTGCCTAGTATATGCAAGGCACATATTCAGTTGATAAAAAACAGTAAAAATAACCAACATTTTTGAGCACCTTCTGTGCACGAAGTACCATGCTATGCTATGTCCTTTACATGTGTTGTTTCTTTTAACCCTCACAAAACCTTATGGAGTAGTAGGTACAATTGTAATCTCTACTAGACAGATGTGGAAACTGAGGCACAAAGAGGTTAAGTAACTTGACCAAAGTTATTTGATTTGATCCAGGTCTACGTGACTCCAAAGTTTATGCTCTTAAACCACTGTGAAGGAAACAAAGAGCTTTATAGTCTAACGTGACAAAGATGTGTAATATAAATGCAGAACTATCTATAGTAGGTACAGTCCTAAGGAGGTACACAGCATTGTGGAGTTCAGGGGTGCACTCAGTACCTGCAAAGGATGAACAGTCATGGAATTTTTCCTGCAGTAGGTAGCTTTTGAGCTCGTACTTAAGGAATGTGGCAGAAATTGCAAACCAGGGTGATATGTGATCCAGGTTATGGAACAAAGGTCTAGAAGTAGGAATGAACGGGCCATGTCTGAGATGGAAACTGGCTTGAACATTACATCCAATTAGGGAAATAATAATAGCCACTCTTTATTTCTCTCTTTTATGTGCCAGGCTCTTGACAGATGTTATTTCTAATCTTTAAGACAACCCTATATGGTAGGTATAATTAGTCATGATTTATGGACAATAAAATGGAGGTTTTTGAGGTCATGGGCAAGTGATGGAGTCAAGATTTGAATTGGAATCTTCCTGACACCATATCCTTGCCCTTTCTATTTTTTTGTGCTGCCTTATTTTAGGAAGTTAGAAAGCTTGGCTGGTGTCATATTGAGAAAAGCCTTAACGACTGAGGTGAGGAATTTTTACTTATCTTGGCAGGCACAGGCAGGGCAGGGACAAAACTCAGGCTGAACTCTAGGAAGACTGCTGAAATCATTTGGGCAGGAGAAATGAGAGCCTGAATTAGAAGAGCAGTGGTGCACCTGGACAACAGGGAAGTGGATTTAAGAAATATGTATTATTGGTATTTAGAGACAATAGCTGATTGGGTAGGAGCAAGGCATAGAGAAGAATATATAGTATTTTAAAACTTTTTATTCTCTTAGTTCTCAGAAGTGTGTTTGCAATGGCCATTAACAGAAATACAGGACAGAAAGAGGAGCTGGCTTTGTGGGATTGAGGAGTGGGAAAACACATGAACTTAATTTGGGAGTTGGAGGTACCGATGACTTCTGTATCTATGTGGAGATGGGTAAGACAGTTGGAGATTCAGTCTGAAATTTTGGGCTAAGATCAAGTTCTCCAAGAAAGTTGAGAGTCAAAGCTACAGTACTCAACAAAGAATATAAAGACTATAAAGACACCAAGATCTTGGTGTCTTCTAAGAAGTAGGAAAAAAAGGGAGCTACATTAAATACCTATTATGTGCCTAGCACTACTGGCAGGGTAACAAACCTTTCCTCATTAAGCTTCCAATCTTGTTCAAGAGATTAATTACACTCATGAAAGAGCAAACAGTACAAAACAATATACTCAGGAGCCAACCTGTAGGGTATAAACAACAGGAGTTATGGGATGTTGAAAAGGAGAGGGGTTGATGTGCTGAAGTTCTTTTCAAAGTGAAGGAGAGGCCAAAGATCAGTACAAGGTATAAGAGGTGGAAATCGTGCATAGGCTGATATGAGGATAGCATTGCTCCCTACACAGTGACAGGAATTTTGGTGTTTTCTCTGTTGCCCAGGGGGTAGTATGGAGGTGAAAAAAATATAAATAGCCTTTGGAGTAAGGGAGACCTCAAATTTTACATCTGCTTTTTATTGATGGTGTAATATTGGGCAAATTACTTAGCTTTTCAGCACTTTAAAAAAATGAGTATAATACTTAATAAGATGGTTGAATAAATTCAGTAAAATAACATGAAAAGCATCTATCCCACTGCTTTACATAGGAAGGTTGGGGAAAACTTAATTAACTCTCTCCTTATGTTGTTTTTCTTGCTACCACTTGGACCACTGGGATACCCACATTTCCTGTTTTTCCCCCCAGCACAGCTTCCTGGAGACACAGTACACATTTTACATATGTGCAGGATTTTTGTACATCCATTTACCTCCTATTCAGGCACAGCTATAGGCCCTAAGAGAGCGGGCAGTTACTGCCTCCAGCTTTTATTAAGATCCACTCGACAAGCATTTATTGAGCACCTACAATGTTCCAGTTACTATGCTAGGCCCTGTTGGTGTATAAAGAGAAGAGGAAAAAAAGAGTCCTCAAGATGAGAAACAGTCTCTGGATAAATAGCTATATGAGTTCAGAAGGTGGAGGAAAGTGAAGGGTGGAGGGCTTGTGTGCAGTGAGCACCTAGCAGAAGGTGGCATTATTTGCAAAAGAGATGTAATTTAAGCTAAGTCTTCACAGATCATAGAATTCACCATGTAGAGATTGGGGAAAGTGGTTAAGGATGGTAGAAGATATGGTGATCATAGAGTCTCTTAAAGCACAGTTATATCAATGCCAACACCTAAGGGGAGGAAACTCCGTTTTACTTGCTCTGGAGTCTTAAGCCACTAGACAGAGTGCGTGCTGAACAGAATTGTAACCCTCGCGAATGAAACGGCCACAGTGCCAGCAGTGGGTAACTGCCGCAGCCGCAGAGCTGCAATTACTCTGAAACTGACTGGGGTACAGAAGATTTATTTGGACAACTGGTGAAACATCATAAACACTGAGAAGCTGCAATTTTCAGACTTCGAGCTTATCCTTGTCATAACCCCAGCTTGTTTTTTTTCGGCCGGGGGTGAAATGCGCAGCCAGAAGGCCCACTTAGATGAAAGAGGGCGGGGGGGGGGGGGGGGGGGAGGGGAAGGTCTCCGCTGCGGATCTACTTTGGCTCCTCCCAAGACCTGCAAGGCTCAACCTTCGCCACACCAAACATGGCGCCCTCGAGCTTCCTCTCCTCGTTTTATCTCACACTCGCCTTTTGGCCACACTTAGCATGGCCCTAACCGAAGGTTGCATTCCTCGGGAACCGACTCGGGACACTTCTCGCGAGTTTTGCCTGGACACACCCCCCCGCCCCCCCCACTGCTCCCGCCCTGCCTCGCGCCGCCGCCGCCGCCGCCACCGCCACTGCCGCTGGCGCCGCTCCTCCTCCGTGTCAGTTGTTGGGCTGTAATGGCGACTGGGCCGCCGCTGCTGAAGTGACTCCCGGGCGGGGGAGCCGGGCCAGACCTGCGCCAGAGGGAACTGCAGAGAGCCGCAGCTCAGGGGGTGGCTTGCTGTGGGGGAGGGGAGGCAGCCTTTCCGCCTCTCCTTCCTTCTCTGCAGACCCGCGGATCCCGGGAGCCGGTGCGAGGCGGGCACCCGGTGCGTCCCCGGAGCGGGGAGGCCAGGGCCGGGCAGCCCTGGGGCCGGTCGGGGCGGCGTCACTGCACCCTCCGCCAGGCCCCGCGGGATGCACCGTGGGGGCCGAGGGCGGAGGCGACACTCTCAGGTGAGCTGCGGGAGGACCTGGCTGTGACCGCGGATGCTCGCTTAGCCTTCGCTGCCTCTGTCCGCGGTCCCGGGTCGGCGGGGGAGGCGGGGCGGGGCGCCAGGAGCCCTGGCCCAGTCTGGCGTCCCCCTCGAGGAGCCTCCCTGGGTCCTAGGCTTTGCTAGGAGGGCCATTCTGAGACCTAGGTTTCAGGTCCCACCGGTGCCTGCAGTAGACGGGATTTCCTTCCTTATCTGCCAGTGCCTGTCCACCCCTCCCTCGCCCCTCCTCTCTTCTGCAAAAGGTGTGAGATACCTCTCGCCCTTGCTCTCCGGAGAAGTGTCTCGTCTTCATTTGGATATCTGGCATATTTTGGGAAATCCCGGGGAACTGGCTCCAGTGGCAAGGATGACTAGTTTCTGTTCCTTTTTGGTGGGGATAAACATTTTCAAGCATAGGGAAAACTTTGATCTTCTTTGGCAGCTGCTGAATGTAGTCTGTCCATTAATTCACAAGTGATGTAGGGGGAGATTTAAAAAGCTTGTACGCTTTGAAAGTTGTCACTATTTTCCCCTGGCCTCTTTGAAGTGTAGCCTAACATGCTAAATGATATTTAGCTAATGTCACAAATATGGGTTGGAATTTGGCTGGCTTTTCGGATAGGAGGTTGCACATAGGTATAGATTTTGATGTGGTTTTTGTGTAGCAGCAAATCCTCCATATAGGAAAAAACACGTTGTCAGGAATAGTGATCAGTATCCACGTCTGTACTCCACCTGATTGTTTTGTTTTGATGGTGATCCTCGTTTTGAATTTGGAAAAGTCGTTAATGGTTATGTTGCCATGTTAACGATGCCTCCTCCAGCCCTGTATTTTAAGGGTTTTTAAAGAATGGCTATTTTAGGCAGGCCTAGTAAGAGCTTGAAAAGCTTTGTAGAGCAATTAAAATACTCTCCATTAAAATAATTTCTTAGTTTAAAATATTGTGTTTAAACAAGGCAATGTGCTGCTAATAACATGAGATTGTGACTTTGGGGGATTGGTTGTTAGACCTATGGTAGAAGTTGCTTCAAGCCCATGGGTATGTAATAATTAGTTTTGGTGTGCTAAATTTACAAACTCCGTTCAGTGTAATAAAATAAATCTGAACCATTGAACCCTCATTGCATTGCATTTAAGATACTTTAATCAGATACATAAACATCAAGCTAGAATACATTGTATGTGTGGATAAATACATATGTATCTCAACTTTTCATAGTGAGTAGCACGGCTTGTGTTTGTAATAATGGTGAGTTATAGTATGTATACAATTTCATACATATGTTGAAGAATTTTTCTGATTCTCTGAGATATATTGGTGCGTAGTGTTATGTAAGAGCATTAATACTTGAACAGCCAGCCTCCTGTGGGGTAATTAATTTATGAGTTATGAGTTTAGAATTTTTTTCTAATGGTCTGATTGCTAGTCTTTTGACCATTTTATAACACTTTTACCATATCATGGACAGAAGAAAGGAGATGAAGTCCCTATCTAACGAATTTTGTTGTTTGTTAAATAGCTGTAAGTTATAGTGGGAGCAAAAAGAAACTGCTGTCTAAAATAACTTACATCATTTTTTGGTGTGCCTCTACATAAATTATTTAGTGCTCAGAGCAATTTTGTGAGGTAGATTTGACAAATGTCCTTATTTTGTAGTTGTGGAAATTGACAAGGAATAAATAAATGAACAAGGAAGTTCATTTATTTATGTGAATGATGGTCTTATTTCCACAGATGATCTAAGACTTTAAAATTTTTCTTTATTTTTATTGACATACTGGTTTCAGGCGTATAGCATAATGATTCGACCTTTGTATTTATTGCAAAGTGATCACGTCTAGTTAACGTCATAGAATTAGTTTTATTTAAAATTGAATATTAATATAGATACTTCTGGCATTTGGTTTTTTAAAATCTAAAAGATTGTGACAAGCCACTAGTTCCTTACGTGGATAACTGTCGGTACTTTAAAAACATTAGTATTTTCATAGCATTATGTTAATTAGTAACAAGCTATGAATTATTGTAGTGAATTGCTCTACTTCTGTATGTACTTTTTGCTTGAACAGTGTTCTTAAGAAATTGTAGTTAATTTGTCATCTCTCATTTTGTTTGGATACTCAGAGTCCTGTCATCTTTTTTTTTTTTTTTAACATCTTTATTGGGGTATAATTGCCTTACAATGGTGTGTTAGTTTCTGCTTTATAACAAAGTACCTGTCATCTTTAGTACTTCAGATCGTTTATATTCTTGGTTAGCTAAAACAAATATTCAAGCCACATGGTCAGCAGCATAACTGAAAAGTAGGGACATCTTGGTGATTTTATTATAGAATTGATGATTTAAAAAGTTAACTTACCATCTATACTTGTGATTGCTATTTTTGCCTTGTGGGGCAAGTCGTGAAGTCATTTTCTTTATTGATTTTTTTTACAAAGTCAATTTCTAGTGTCACAAATCACTCCCGAAACCTGAATAATCGAAAGATTGCATAGGTTTTTTTGCATTAATATTTTTGTTCGTTATCACAAGTATAACTTCACATTTGCTAGTGGTTACTTTGGGTTATTATTTGCCTTTCTCATCTAGTGTGTAAGTTCCATGATGGCAGAGATTGTCTATTAACTGTTGTGCACCCAGTGCCTAGCACATAGTAAAATAGTCAATAAATATTGGCTGAATAAATTGACTAGAGAGTGGTCTTGGCATAGTATTTAAACAAAACAAAACACTAGTTCATGGTTCCTAGGCACACATCAACTCTTCTTAGGAATATAGTCCATAGATAAAGTCAAGTTTGCTAGGTGGCAGGGGAATGACAGACTGGTATTAAAAGGTTGCTGAGAATAAGCCACAGGTAGATCCTGAAAACTTTATTGACTATTTTAATGATTTGCTTAGATGTTCTGACAATAGTTATTGTAATTTAAAGAAAATGGAAGCTTTAAGACCCTGACCTGTTATACTAGTACTATAATTATAGGCTTGTAATAATTTTAAGTCTCTTTTAATTACAGCATTGGGAGTTTTAAATCTTAAAGGCTAGCTAGTCCAATTCCCACGTTTTATATGTAAGTAAACAGAGTTCATATGGAGGAAATATCTCACCCATAGTTGATTTCATAACTGGATGAAGACTCCACTATACAGCTGTGAAGTCTACATTTGTTTAATATGAAGATAATTATCCAATTAGAGGATAATTGTGAACAACCGGCAATCTCTTCTATGTGTTAACTAAAAACTCAAAAAACAGGCCTCACTCTTCATGAATCAAATATTTATTTATTTATTTTTGGCTGTGTTGGATCTTCGTTGCTGCGCGCGGGCCTTCTCTAGTTGGTGGTGAGCGGGGGCTAATCTTCGTTGTGATGCGCGGGCTTCTCAATGCAGTGGCTTCTCTTGTTGCGGAGCATGGGCTCCAGGCGCATGGGCTTCAGTAGTTGTGGCACGTGGGCTCAGTAGTTGTGGCTTCTGGGCTCTAGAGTGCAGGCTCAGTAGTTATGGCACATGGGCTTAGTTGCTCCGTGGCATGTGGGATCTTCCTGGACCAGGGCTAAACCCATGTCCCCTGCAGTGACAGGTGGGTTCTTAACTGCTGCGCCACCAGGGAAGCCCCCCAAAATATTTTTTAACCTAAATATGAATCTCAAACTTCTCCTCTGTCATTGGGACTATAAATTGGTGCAACTGTTTCTGGAAGGAAATTTGGCATCACCTATCAAAATTAAAAGTGCACATATTCGTTGATAGAGTCATTTCATTTTTAGGAGTTTATCTTACAGAAAATTTAACACAAGAGCACTAGAACAAATCTATAAGGATGTTCATTTTAGCATTATTACAAATAAATGTCTACAACATTTATAAGTAACAAAAAAAAATCCTAAATGTTTGTTGGTAGGGGAATAGTTAAAATTACAGTGACATACAATGCACTTGTTAATAGATTGAGGGATAGATATATTTACTTGATGAGAAGTAGCTGATTGTTTCTTTGAGCACAGGAACCATGCAGCCAACTTTCTGGGTTCAAATCCTAACCATTTATTAGCTGTGACCATTAGCAGGTTACTTAAACTCATCTATAAAGTGGATATAATTATAGTTCTCACCTGACAGGGCTGTTGTGAGAATTAAATGAGTTAATATTTAAGCCCTAAGTAAGTACCACATAGGTGTTTGTAATTATTATTATGTTCTGACAAGGAAGAATGTTCATGATATAATATTGAGTGAAAAAAATAAGTTGTACTACACTGTGCAATATGATTCAGTGTTAAAACAAATACATAGGCAAAGAAATGTAGTTTGATTTTGTTTTGATTTTGTATGTGCATAGGAAGGGCTCTGTAAGGATAGACATTAAACTATTAGCTGTGTTTATTGCTGGGAGAGTGGATGACTTTCCTTTTTTCTTTACTTTAGGTACTTTTGTGTTGTTTATTGTAAGTGGCATTATCATTTTTGAAACTCTTTTTTCTGAAAAAGAAAATATCGAGGCAGAATTTTTCTACTATTATACAGTCACATAATGTAGTTTTGAATATAGTTTTTCAGAGAGCTACAGAGTTCATCCACAGAATATCACATGATTAGATTCTATTTCAAAACTTTTGTTGAGGGAAGGTTAAAATTAATCTATGAAAATTCCTGATGAATGTATTTATTTTTATTCTAACTTTGTGACCTTACGTCTTATTTCTTAATTTACAAAGTAAGCACATAGGCTAGATCAGTGTTTTGTAAACCCAGGATCCCCAGACCGTGCCATGAGGTACCTGGGAGCACCGTAGTAAACTCACATGGGCACTGTTGAATACTTTTAAATTTTTGAGGGAAACTAATATTTGACAACTGTGGGTTATCTGTGGGATATTTGACGTCTGTGAGACCACTGCTTAAACTATTAGTTTGAGGTACTGTGCATGAGATTGTGCCACATTCCTTTCAATGACAGTTGTCTTCAAAAAGCTAGGTTTTGGGGGTTGCTGTGATTAAAAGAAAGTTCTGTGCAGAAATCAGTGTGAAACAGTAAATGAAAGTGGCCGTGTCCAAAGTGATTTCAAGGTCTGAGAAATTATGTAATGTCTTTTAGGTGCACACATCCCATTAATAAGTAATTGTGGTTATTTAGTAATTAAAAGATTTCTTTTAATTTATATGTATTTTTCAAGCTGCTACTAAGTTGTTAGGACATAAATACTTACTAGGTTATATGGACCTAACTACCTAATAAATGAAACTGTTAGGTAATTTTTTGGCCTGTGGGCACTATGAAAAAAATTACTGAGACACTAAGGGTTCTGTGAACTGAGAAAGCTTGGGAACCTCTTGAACTCTTTTGACTAGGACACCCATAGTAAAAAATAGATTTTCCATGGGAACATAATATACATAGATATGTATATATCTATATATAAAATGAAATGAAAGTTTCACCTAAAAAATACCCTTGCTGCTTTCAATACACCCTGATATTTTCAATTCAGTTTTATTTGGTTTCATTAAAAAATGCAGGCTCTAACGTACCAGATTGATTCTTTTTGATCTACTATGTGGTACCATTACTACATATTTGAAAAACATGAGATTAGATGACCCCTAACTTCCAGCTCTAATATGCTTTGTTCTCTGATTAGTTATAAATGAAGTTGGACTACACTTAAAACAATATAGATGAATCTCTGAAAAGTTGTGTAGATGCTACGCTTTCTTGTATGATGAATCATTTAAAATTCTATAGAGAAATAATGGTGTAAAGGAGATCTTTTTATAGATGGAAGGATATTTTTGCAACCAGAAGAGTCGGATTTATCTTTGATAAATTTGAGGTTAGGTGATTTTTAAAAAAGTTAACCACTTAAAGTTTTTGTTGTTGTTGTAAATGGACTTGTAAAAGCTCCTTTGGAATCATGGCATCTCTCCCTTTTAAAAACTAGATTGATTGATTTTTTAAAACCTACATCCTACTTTCCTTAAGCAACCATGTTTGTTTGCTTATTTACTTACTTTTGGCTGCGTTGGGTCTTTGTTGCTGTGTGCAGGCTTTTTCTAGTTGTGGTGAGCAGGGTCTACTCTTCGTTGCGGTGCGTGGGCTTCTCATTGCAGTGGATTCTATTGTTGTGGAGCATGGGCTCTAGGCTCCCTGGCTTCAGTAGTTGTGGCACGTGGGCTCAGTAGTTGTGGCTTGTGGGCTCTAGAGCGCAGGCTCAGTAGTTGTGGCTCGCGGGCTCTAGAACGCAGGCTCAGTAGTTGTGGCTCACGGGCTTAGCTGCTCCGCGGCATGTTGGATCTTCCTGGACCGGGGCTCGAACCCGTGTCCCCTGCATTGGCAGGTGGATTCTTAACCACTGCGCCACCAGGGAGGTCCCTAAAAACTAGATTTAAAAATCATGAGTAATAGCACTGGCTTCATTTAACTGGCTTCATTTCATTCATGATTTTCATGTCTAAATCTATAAAATAAGAGTATTTTTTTAAAGAATTTCTTTTTAGTTTTGGGCTTATTTTGAAACATAAAATGCATATGTACACGTATAACTATTATTTTACTTATTGTTTTTTTACATGTTACCATGAAAGAAATTTTTTGCTTACCAGTGGTTAACCTCTTCATATATGAAATACCTGTGGGTTTTTTTTGCCCTGTTTGCATTTGAGAATTGGATTCTTGAGATTTATCAATGGGACAATTATTCAGCAGACAGGTCTGGAGCACCTAGTGGGTGCTGTGTACTGTGCATGGACTAGGGATATAAAGAGGAATAAAACATCGTCCCCACAGTGACATGTAAGAGACAGATATGTAAATAATAGTATGGAGGTGGGGCGGTAAGAGGAAAGATAAAGTGGGAGCAACTATACAGCGGCTTCCAGTGAAAGAAAAAGTTGTTATATTTGTTTCCTTAACAGCCTCTAAATTAGCTAAGTTATTGAATGTTGAAGGAAACTTCTCAAAATTATTTTTCCTTGTTTTTTTCCTTGAAACGTGATAAATGTATCTGCTTTTAAAAATTCGAAAACATATCCACTGGAAAATCTGCTTCCTTTCTTGGATTCTCAGTCCCTCTCCGCAGAGTTAACCAGTGTTAATGGTTTCTTCTGTATCAGGAAGCTTTTGTAGTGAAAATTTCATACTTTTGGGACAAAAAATAATCCTGACTTGCACTATAAGACACATTTATAAGGATATATTCCTTGAGATTAATTTAGAAGAGTAAATATTCAGGATAACTAGATAGAGGGTAAACAAAGTATAGGCTCCTATTTTTAGGTTTTTTTAAGTAAAAGACTAGGGGTACCTTTAATCAGGCTCTAGTTTAGCTCTTCATTTCATATCAGTGGGGGACATTGTGTTCTTTGTGATCCCTATCCAGTCTCCTATACGCCAGAGGCCAAGCTGGTGCCAGATGTTATAGTTTCTTCTGGGTTTCCTGGATTATAGGAGGTCATTCTTAACTGTTAAAAGTAGTTGTTGAGGTTTGTATTTTATACGTAGAAAGAGGTGAGGCTAATTCTCAGGTCATTTGTTTTTGTATACCATATTATGGGAGTATTGGTTATTCTGAGAATTTACATGGAACAGTGTAATAGGTCTGTTTTAGAGCCGGAATGTTTTCCACTTTTCCTAGCCTGGTTCCTACTAAATTTGTCCATTTTATATTGAGACTAGATAGTATGACTGTTGCAGGGTTGTTTCTTTTCAGCCTTTCAGGCATAGATGGTTGTTACATTGGGTCTGATAAAGATGAGAGAACAGAAGCAAAGTTAAAATAACTCTGGGAGAGCCAGAACGAAGTCGTTTCTTTCATTTTTCATCGCCAGTACCTGCACATAGTAGGAGCCCAATAAATAATTGAGCTGAATGAGTCTATGTGACTGAATGAGAGCACTGTCAATAAATGTGAAAGGAAAATTTGCTGCTTGAAGATACTTGAGAATTGGCTATTTCAAAATGTCATATCTTATTTGTATATACATATGATAGGTATAGATCAGAGTTTGTCAAACTTCTTGGTGTCAAGGAGACACTTTATACTCTTGAGTTATTGAAACTCAAAGAGCTTTTATGTGGACTGTATCTGTTGATATTTGTTGTATTAGAAACTTTAAACATATTTATTAGTTTATTTAAAATAACCATAAACTGTATCATATTAATACACAATTTTTAAAATAAAAAATAACTATATTTTCCAAAACAAAAAAAAATTTAGTGAGAAGAGTG